CAACCATGGGACATCCTACGGATATGTGTCCCATCCTTCAAGAAGATGCGGAGCATGTGAATGCCACGGGAGAATTCCAAAACTACCACAACAAACCATCCGGGTACCAAAATGCATATAATTCAAGTTGGAAACCAAATCCCAACGGAAGCTACAACCCAAGACCATTGCCTCACAATGCATTGGTTAGACCGTCCTATCCACCACCACAACCTCAATACCAACATCAACAACCACACTATCAATCCAAAACGCACCCTCCACATCATCATCAACAATCTCCTCAATCTCAACCAAGTAGCTCCGGAATGTCTCTTGAAGACATTGTCAAATCTCTAGCCACTAGTACCCAACAATTCCAAAAAGAGACAAGGACTAGTATCTCCAACCTTGAAGCACAAATGGGAGATATAGTTACGTCCATAAGCAAGTTGGAATCCTGTGGTAAACTCCCTTCTCAAACCGAAAAGAACCCAAATGTCAATGTGGTGACCTTGAGAAAGGGCAAGCAAGTCGGAGAAAGTAGTTCAAAGAAGAAGCCAAGGGAAGAAGAGGAAGAAATAGAGATCATTCCCATTGAAGAACCTACAGTCAAGAACGATGCACAAGCCGGAGTTCCAAAGAGTCCATCCCTCTAGTAACACCAATAGCCACTCAACCACCATTCCCCTCTCGACTTGCAACTTCAAAGAAGAATATGGAGGAGAAAGAGATTTTGGACACCTTCCGAAAGGTGGAAGTAAAACATCCCTCTACTTGATTGCAATCAAGCAAATCCCGAGATATGCAAAGTTCTTAAAAGAACTTTGTACCAACAAGAGGAAGTTGAAGGGAAATGAGAAATTTTGATGAATGAAACGCATCCGCGGTTTACAAAGGAAACTTCCACCCAATGCAAAGATCCCGGAATGTTCACGGTTCCTTGCAAGATTGGAGATGTCACTTTTAGTAGTGCTATGCTTGATCTTGGTGCTTCTATCAATGTCATGCCCTATTCAGTGTATGAATCATTAAAGTCGGACCCTTAAGTGAAACCGGTGTCATAATCTCTCTTGCGGATAAATCAAGTGTCTTTCCTAGAGGTGTTTAGAAGATGTCCTAGTGCAAGTGAACCAATTAGTCTTCCCGGCGGATTTCTATGTGATTGATCTAGATGAGCAAGTGTCTTCCAAATCGGCTCTAATCTTGCTTGGGAGACCGTTTTTGAAGACGGCTAGGAAAAAGATCGATGTGTATGCGGGAAGTTTGACAATGGAGTTTGATGGTGAAACAATAAGTTTTAATATTTATGATGCCATGAGATATCCTAGTGATGTTTCATCTTTGTACTTTGTTGATGTTGTTGAGCCAATTACTCAATAATTGTTTGAGTTATCTAACGTGTATGTTGGAGATGATCTTAAGCAAAGGATTCGATTGTGGGAAGCTAGCCGAGCAATTAAAGCTTTATTCTTTGGATCCGAAAGTTGAGAAGTTGGTAATAAAATGGAAATGAAAAAATCCACAAGATTAGATGTCAAGCAAATTGAATTGTCCCAAACTCATACAAAATTGTCTCCATCCCTTGTTCAACCACCCGAATTGGAATTAAAGGTCTTACCTCAACACTTGAAGTATGCCTACTTGGGAAAGAATGAAACCCTTCCGGTTATCATCTCAACTCATTTAACCGAATTTGAAGAAGAGCAACTCCTCAAGGTGTTGAAGGAGCATAAAGAAGCCATGGGTTGGACGATTGCGGATATCAAGGGTTTGAGCCCCTCCACTTGTATGCACAAGATCTTAATGGAGGATGAATGCAAGCCAAGTAGAGACGACGCAAAGAAGGCTAAATCCACCAATGATGGAAGTCGTGAAGAAAGAGATATTAAAGCTTCTTGATGCGGGGATGATCTATCCAATCTCGGATAGCAAGTGGGTGAGTCCGGTGCAAGTCGTTCCAAAGAAGACGGGAATCACGGTGGTCGAGAACAACAAAGGTATGATGGTCCCCACCCGTGTGCAAAACGGGTGGAGAGTATGTATTGACTACCGCAAACTCAATGCGAGCACACGAAAAGATCATTTCCCATTGCCTTTCATTGACCAAATGTTAGAAAGGTTGGCCGGGAAATCCCATTATTGTTGTCTAGACGGGTACTCTGGTTTTCACCAAATCCCGGTGGCACCGGAAGACCAAGAAAAGACAACATTTACATGCCCATTTGGTACTTTTGCATACCGGAGAATGCCATTTGGATTGTGTAACGCCCCGGCCACTTTCCAACGTTGTATGGTTAGTATCTTTTCGGATTATGTTGAAAACATAATTGAGGTTTTTATGGATGATTTCACGGTACATGGCAACTCTTTTCAAGAATGTTTGACTAATCTCACAAAAATTTTAAAAAGATGCATTGAAACAAACTTGGTTTTGAATTTTGAGAAATGTCATTTCATGGTGAGTCAAGGTCTCATTTTGGGTCACATTGTGTCTAAAAAAGGAATTGAGGTAGATAAGGCCAAAATTGATGTTATTCAAAGCTTACCTTACCCGACTTGTGTTCGGGAAGTTCGTTCTTTTCTGGGCCATGCAGGTTTCTACCGAAGGTTCATCAAGGATTTTTCAAAGATAACAAGACCAATGTGCCAACTCTTGCAAAAGGAGGTCGATTTCGAGTTCAATGAGGCGTGCAAAGAAGCTTTTGACAAGCTCAAAGAGTTGCTTACATCCGCTCCCATCATGCAAGCACCAAATTGGGATCTCCCTTTTGAGATCATGTGTGATGCAAGCAACTATGCGATTGGCGCCGTTTTGGGTCAAAAGAATGGGAGGGCCTCCCATGTGATCTATTATGCATCAAGGACACTAGACAATGCCCAAAGCAACTACTCTACCACGGAGAAGGAGCTATTGGCCATAGTGTTCGCCTTGGAGAAATTTAGACAATACCTACTTGGTACCAAGGTCATAGTGTATTCGGATCACGCAGCTCTTAAGTACTTGATGACGAAGAAAGATGCAAAGCCGAGACTCATCCGGTGGATCCTACTGTTACAAGAATTTGACTTGGAAATCCGGGATAAGAGCGGATGCGAGAACCTCGTTGCCGATCATCTAAGTCGGATCACTTCAAATGAAACTCCTCTCCCATTGCGGGACGAGTTTCCGGATGAGCATCTCTTTTCCCTTACCCAATCTATTCCTTGGTATGCCGATATCGTTAACTTTTTGGTCACAAAAAGGTATCCCGACACATTCACGCGTTCTCAAAAAGACAAGTTGAAAAGTGATGCAAAATACTATGTGTGGGATGAACCTTATTTGTGGAAACATTGTCCCGATCAAATCATTAGGCGATGTGTGCCCCAACAAGAGCACCAATCCATTTTGCAATTTTGTCATGAATTTGCTTGTGGGGGACACTTCGGACCTAGCCGGACTTTGAGAAAAGTCCTTGAATGTGGATTATTTTGGCCAACCATGTCACGCGATAGTTATATGTTTTGCAAAAGTTGTGAGCGGTGCCAAAGGACGGGAAACATTTCGCAAAAGAACCAAATGCCCCAAAATCCAATCCTTGTTTGTGAAATTTTCGACGTATGGGGGATTGATTTTATGGGCCCATTTCCCGTATCATTTGGCAACGTTTATATTTTACTCGCGGTTGACTATGTTTCTAAATGGGTTGAAGCCAAAGCCACAAGATCGGACGATGCCAAAACGGTTATCGAGTTTTTAAAGTCTAATGTTTTTGCGAGATTTGGTGTGCCTAGGGCTTTGATTAGTGATAGAGGGACGCACTTTTGCAACAAAATGATGGAGGCTCTATTGAAGAAGTATCACGTGACTCATCGTGTCTCCACTGCCTATCACCCTCAAACGAATGGTCAAGCGGAGGTCTCGAATCGTGAAGTGAAGTCTATTCTAGAGAAAACGGTGAATCCGACAAAGAAGGATTGGAGTTTGAGACTTGACGATGCCTTATGGGCATATCGGACCGCTTATAAGACCCCGATTGGAATGTCGCCCTTCAGATTAGTTTTCGGAAAACCTTGTCATCTTCCCGTCGAGTTAGAGCACCGAGCATTTTGGGCGGTCAAGAAATGCAACTTCGACATTGACGAGGCTGGAAGGCATAGGAAACTTCAACTCCAAGAGCTAGAAGAATTGAGAAACGAATCCTATGAAAACGCAAGGATTTATAAGGAGAAAACGAAGCTCTTCCACGACAAGTCCATCACCCGGAAGAATTTTGAACCGGGACATAGGGTCTTACTTTACCATTCACGGTTGAAGTTATTCCCGGGCAAATTAAGATCAAGGTGGATTGGCCCATTTGTTGTAATAAAGACTTTTGACCATGGAGCGGTGGAAATCCAAAGTGAAGAAACGGGACATATTTTCAAAGTTAACGGGCACCGATTAAAGCCATTCTATGAAAGTTTTAATGCAAGTGTTATTGAAGTCATCCACTTGGATGCACCGGAGTGTTGAACCAAGCTAGAAGGACGTCTCGCCTAAGACGTTAAAGAGAGGCATTTTTGGAAAAGCTTTATGCTTTCGTGTTTCTACGTTCGAATAAAGAAGTTTTGAAAATGTTTTGATACGTCTTTTGAAGTCATTTTTGAAGAAATCAAGAGTTTCTAGGTGTTTGGGGCATTTGGGATCAAGAACTAGTGAAGAAACGGAAGAAAACAGAGAAAAATCGATTTCCGGGAGCAGGGGTCTGCGCGACCCGCGCACGGGTGCGCGGCCGGTCTTCAACATGCAACAAAAAATCAAGCACCAAACTGCATGATCTGCGCGACCCGCGCGCCCCCTCTGCGCGACCCGCGTGCTGCTTTGACGACTATCCCCTATTTTGTTGACCAGCTTTGACTTTCGTTGACCAGGTGGTTTAATGAGTTGACCAACATTGACCGGGTGTTGACCACACTTGTATATGGATTAAAAACCTCCAGCAACTCTTCTTCTTCATTTCATTCTCTCAAAAACCCCTCATTCTCTCTCAAACTCTCAAGAACACATAAACCCACTTTTCACAAAAATTTGATTTCCCGGAGTTCCACCGGTCGGAATACGACGAGACCACCACCATTCTTCACCATTTTCCGTGCTCTACAAACCCCACCTAAAGTTTACTCCGATCCATCGCCGGGTCTAGGGGCGCCACCACCACCCAACTCGCGGCTTTCCGGCCATTTTCCGGCCAACTCCCACCACCTCTCGAAATTCCGACACACCAAAGTGTTTCTTTTTCGGGGATCTTTACATCTAACCAAACAAAACCTCAAAATCTCACCAAAAATTTTCCCATAATTTTTGAGCCACCACGAGCCGCCGCCGGATTTTTCACACAAATCAAGTTGAAAATATCCCTTCAATGAACAAGTCTTGCATTTAGGCACCCACGAATAACCAAAGCTTGGGGTGCACGGTAGCGGATTCCGGGTTCAAGTTCAATTTTGGGATAATACGGGTATTCTCTTTCCTTGGTTTTTATTACATTGCATTGTTTCAATTCAGTAATTGCATCCAATTATGCTTTGGAAATTGCCTAAGATCGTTAGTTGTTGCCCGGTTTATTTGGAAACATTGATTTGAGAAAGGTTGAGATTGGTTAATTTGCTTGGAAATTTGTTCAAAAAATTGTTTAAACTTTGGTTGGGATTTTCTCATTTTGTCTCATATTGCTGCCGAATTTTTGTTGGGATTATCGAATTAACCGAGTGGTGTTGTTGAAACCATTTTACATTGTCAAAAGTTGGGTGTCATTATTTCTTGGATTTTTTTTGTGTTCGGTCTAAAGATAGTTGCATTGATTTGAGAGTGGTGAGGTGAGGGATTACGTTGGTGAAGTTGTTTTTGATATTGTAGGTTTCGAAAATGGGCAAAACCACGGCTCGGACACGCACCCATGGATCATCGATCGATCCTAACCCGCAAAAGGATACCGCCGGTCCATCACGCAAAGCAGCCGGTAAACGAAAAAAAAGAGGAGAAGAGGGAAGCGATCCTTCCCTTACAAATGCTGAGATCAAAACCTATCGCTCCAATCTTCGGGGTCGCGCAATCCGGCCGACAAAATTCTACCATAAAAAGTCCATGAAAAAGCTTGGGGTGCATGATGGTGTATACCATTTGTTCATAAAACTCGGTTGGCGTGGTTTTCTTCGACTTTGTGACAGAACTTACGAGGAACCCACAATGGAATTTCTTAGCACATATGCACGAGATGATGACACGAAGTCCTCACATTCCAGTTGAAAGGGGAGCATCATAGACTCACATACGAAGAGCTTGATTCTATCATGGGTATAGACGATCCATTCCGCATCAGCCCCCAAAATCAAGAGTACCAAGATTTTCTGCGTTACCCTGATGCAAACTTTTGGATGCAAATTTCCGGTCTCCCAACCTTCAACCCAAGCCGACAGCGAGCCAAGCACATCGTTCACCCCTGTTGGCGAATTGCTCACCGAGTCCTTACGACGAGTATCTTCGGGCGTCTCGAGCCCGGTCAAATCAACAGATGTGAGCTATTTTTCCTCCGAAGCATGAGGCGTGCACTCCCCTCAGTTTTTCAGGCTTCTTTTTAGACAAATGTGACTCCATACGCCAACGTTCCTCAGGGGAAATTTTCATCGGGGGACTTATCACGATCATAGGTCGAGCCGTCGGCCTAGACTTCCCGGATCCCGAGTACATACCTGTCGACACCCCACCGAACTTCCTGCTAGATTGTGACACTCTCATCCGGATGGAGATGTTGCTCGATCGGGGAACCCGCACGTACAGTTGGTTAGACTCTGACAAAGCCCCGGTTTACATCCTGCCAAGTTGGATCGGTTCTTCATTCGATACAGGCGACCCCGACACTTGGCTTCCTCCAGATCAATTGACCCAAGCACTTGTATTCCCAGAATTCGGTGATGCTCCTCATGGGTGACGATGCAGAGCAACAAGAGGAAGAAGATGACGAAGAGAACGACGAGATGCCCGAAGCTGGGGATCATTTTGACCAGCCCTCGATGCAGCAGCCGATGTTTCCGCATGATCAATTCCAGGCCCCTCCACATCATTTTGACCAGCCGCATCAGCAGGAGGGACACGAAGTCCCACCATATTTCCCCCCATGTTCTTTGACCAATTTGCCACAATGTTCTCCACGGTGCAACGCATCGACGCCCAAACGCAAGAGAATTCGAGAGCCATCCTAGATGTGGCAAGCCGTGTTGATCGATTGGAGCAGTCCTCCTCTCACACTTCCCGCCAGGTCCAGGATATGTGGGACTACCACTATCGCCACGGGCATTTCCCGCCGCCCGACCCCCCGATTTAGGTCCTTTCCGCCCTTTCCTCAAGCATTGAGGACAATGCTCGTTCTTAAGCTTGGGGTGGGGCATTTCATTTTCCTTTTATTTTTTTCATGCATTTTTAATTAGGTTGCATAACATTTTAGTTTTAAGCTAATTTTCATTCATTTTTTTTAATTCCAAAAAGATTTTATTTTCTTCTTTTTCCACTTTTTATTTTTGCATAACATTTAGCTTAAGACATTAGCATTCATGCATTTTTGTTGTCTGTTTATTCTCACCTCTCTTGGATGCCATGGAACAGGTTCACAGTTATTGTATCATTATTGGTCCAGGATCTTGTTGCTATCTCACCCATCGAATCGGGACCACTAGCTGCAGTTTGGGATTTCATACTTGGGATCAGATGCTGGTAGCTTAAAGGGGTAAGTGATCATGGCCAGGTAGTTTCATGAAGAATTATGCATACAATACTAACAACTGTAGGATATACTATAGCAATGGGTGTTCTTAGCCTTGCGGTCACTACCGCGGAGAGGATCACACTTGATCATGTTTGAACTGTTAGGATGAAGCATTGGTGCTTGTCCCCGAGTAGAATCCATATCCGGTCTCTTTACATCACCATATCTTTTTGCGATTTTCTTAGAATTTAGAGAGTCTTTTAGTCCACATTTGGACATTTTCATTATCTTTGAAAAACCACAAGTTTGAAAAGGAGCTTACATTACATCTTTATGCTCCACACATGGTCATTTTCACACTTAGGCCATTCGGATTATATCATTACCCTTTCGGTTCCACCTACACACCTTTGGGAACCAAATTTTGAGTCAAAGGGTTTTCTCATCAAAAAAAAAAAAAAAAAAAACAAAAACAAAAACAAAATGAAGCATGCAAATTTTCAGTTGCAACTATCTTAGATAGGTGGCCGGTTCAATTATTGAACAAATTTCCCAACATCTTGGTCACCCGGGTTTGATATTCATTTATTTAGGTATGTTTTATTGTATATAGATCGAGTTGTTTTTCGCAAATTGGTGATGTTAGGGAGACTGTCGAGTCGGATACTACGGGAGGTTTGGGCCAACACCAAGTGAATCGATTCCTACAACGGTGCCCGAGCGATTAAACCTAGTTACACATGAGAGAAACCGGCAAATGTGAGATCAGAGTGTACACTTAAAAAAGAGCTCCACCCGAGCCCATCCAGTTGCTTTCTCCCTACTACAGATGTTCTTCATTGTATACATGTTCCATTGAGGCTGCGACTGCTCATCCCTCCTTACTCACCTAAAGGAGTTGTCCTGGCTGTGGTTTATGGTTCCATTGTCATCGGATGAAAAAGTTGTGAGATAGCAGCGAAATCAATTCTGACCATGTTGACTAACGTCGAACAGGTTCCATGGTTCTATCCATTCTTTTTATTTCTAGGGTAGTTCATCCCAAGTTCATTTAGTCTTGTCTTACTTGAGGACAAGTAAGGTTTAAGCTTGGGGTGATTTGATAGCTTCATTTTAATTACTTCTTTTTATAGTTTATTTTAGCATATTTCATTCATAATTTAGATAATTTCCATGCATATTTTCCTTTTTGTTATTTTATGACTATTTCGGGTACTCTCGAATCTTGTGAGCATAATTGCAGGTTTTCGGGTCTAGCGGAGCGGGAGTGTTCGGGACATATAGGAGGCGATGAGATTTGGTAGACAAAAATGATGTTGGGCTTGATGGGTAGTGGCGATGATGCATGGAGTGATCTTGATGATTATTTGAAGACTTGGAGAGAAATAAACTTTAAATTTGCAAGATGCGGGGGAATATTCAAGCGTACGTAAATTATTAATCGGGCGAATTCACGAGCTTTGGAGGATTTGGAGAGGTCAAATTGGGCTTAAAATGAAGAAAAACTTGAAGAAAATGGGCTAGGAGGTGATTGGATTCGATCTGGGCCAAGTGGGCTAAGCTATGGAGGCCCAAAACCTCAAAGATGCTACATCCAGGGACCACCCGCGCAACCCACCCGCGCAAGAGCACGCGGGTCGCGCAACCTCCTGCAGGGGCAATTTCGGAAATTCTTCTTTTGAGCTATTTGAGGAAGGTTGGTGCCCATCTTTTGCATACTCTTGGACACCCGATTTTTGAAGATTCTCTCTGGAGTTTTGGAGACTTTTGAAGGCCAAGAACCCTTGAAGAACATCATATTTTTACCTCTTGATTCTTGCTTAATGTTTGGTACAAATTTCTCTAACTTTGTTTCTTTGGGTTTAGCCATGCTTGGCTAAGCTAATCTTGGTTGACTTTTGGTTAATCCTTTGAACTTTTGTTGAATGTTGAAGAATCCATGAACATGTTCTTGAATCTTTATGGAAATGTTTTGTGTTTTAACATCTTATCATTACTTGTATGTTTTAGTTCATGAGTTTAAATGTGTTTGTGGTGATTAGTTGGCTAATTTCTTGATTAAGTAAAGGATCCTCAAATTAGCAAGCAACAAATGATTTTTGTGTTGTTTTTGCTTCACACAATCATAAAAACATTTCCTCCAACATGGTGGTGAAAGCATTTGACCCCTCTTGGATTTGGTGACTTTTTGGTTCTTAATGCTAGTTGACTTTCACTAATTACATGCTATTTGGAATTAGTGACTTTGACTAAGGAAATTGTTATGAGCTTCTCTAGCCATTTCAACAATTAAGAAAAGTCTAGGTAATCTCAAGCTCCTTGGATTACTATAGCCAAATTGAGGATTTAAAACAAGTATTGCACCATTGAATTCTAATGATATGTTCATCAAAAGTCAAAGTGAGAAAACTTTAAGTCAACCATCTTTCCCTTATTGATTTTACATCAAATTCTTATTTTTGTTGCAATTGTCTATTTAAATCATAGTTAATTCTAGTTTGTTTCAAGTATTTCAAAACATCAAAACCCCCATTTTTAATTTATTGTCATATTCCAAGTATTTTACAAAGAGATTTTTCATAGAGTTATCAAATTGAAC